GAAGCTAGGAACATGGTAGCAGGATAGGCTGATATCAAAAGCGCCGACAAGGAGTCAGACTGCAATAAGTACACAATTAAATTATACTAGAATACTTTATAGTGGTGTAATTTTAAGTTTGCATCATCAACCTGCAAAATTCCTGGCAACCTGCAAAATTCCAACCTGCAAAATCCCCAACCTGCAAAATTCCAACCTGCAAAATTCCCAAACTGCAAAATTCCAACCTGCAACCTGCGTTTTGTACCTGCCGATAGTTTTGAGTGCGAAATGATTAGTGGTTGTCTAAATAAAAATACTGTGTGACCCCGGCCCTGTTGTGATGTGACATGCATATCTACAAAAATTGGAGATGGCGGACATTTCATTCCTTTTGCTCAAAATATTTGTAGAAGTATAAAGCAAGATATGAAAAAACGGTAAAAGAGTGTTATAATAATATATAGTCTTAAAAGTTCTTTCAAATGAGAAAATAAAAAAATATATTGCCATTTCCCTTTAATATATAAAATGGCTTAGAAGTGTTTCTGTTTTAAGTTAGAGTTATAAACCGAGAAGGAGGTTTATAACTGATATGTTGCCCCTGAGGACGCGTAGCGTCCAAGGGCAATATATCAGTTATAAACCGACTTTCAAGGTTTATAACTAACTTATATCTCATTTGTGGAGGTTTTCTAACATATTTTGTCATTTTCAAAAATTTTTGATGAAAAATTCTCGTGTTTTGTCGAAAAGTTTGATGTAATTATTTATTCAAGGTATATTAGCTAGTTATAAACCTCGGACGATCAAAGAAAACCGACACAAATGAGATATAATCCTAGTTATTAACTGTTCATCCTAATGTATCATCAGCAATCTATCTGCTACATTTATTAAGCATTTGGGTCCCAAGACTCCTTACAATTGAGACATAGCAAGTGTGAAAGTGAACTTACATTCTCGCAACTATTAGCCCACAACATTGAACGTGGTACCAGCTGAGACAGCCGTCACATGCTATCCAGTGCACCTCTGCCGAAGTACAGTCTTTGTCCTCTTCCTCTGGGGGTTCTAATTCGCCACATGATGCACAGACGTCCTCATTTGCATCATCAGGTACTGGATGCTTGTCCTTTGCCTTTCTCTTGGATCGAGTGGAAGCAGCTTTTTTCGCACCTTTTTTTCGATTGAGACTAACTTGGTGTAAGTGCTCAAACCACATTCTTGTTTCTCCAACAGGCAGGAGGACGTCTTCAGACGTTGCGCATACTACATCGTCAGATGGAATATTCTCGTATTTCTTGTATACAGACTAGAAAATACATGCATGCAGAAACCATCGCCTTCCGAACATGAAGTATCTAGAGTAGTTGTGATGGTAACACGATAATTTTTTAAGAATATTCTTACAAATCGCCTAAAAATCACTTTTAATTAAAAAAACAAAATTATCAATATTAATAATAATAATAATAATAATAATATCAATATTAATAATAATATTAATAATGATAATATTAATTATCAATATTATCAATATTATCAATATTATTACAAAATTATCAATTTCCCAACATATATATGATAGGTATGTTATTATACATAATATAAGCTTCAATTTAAGGTACATTCAACCACAAATGCTTCGCAAAACGTTTTAATGTGTTCTTTATAAAAATAAACAGCCTTTAATTAGATGGCTTTATCGATAAACTTTGAGTTTGCAATAAAATGATTTCAAATTCTCGCTTGCAAATAACTTTGCTTTCTTTTTTATTTAAAAAATGCAATATGATAAAAAAGGGAATCAATATTAAAGATACACCTGAAATTATATGCTGTCTTGTTTAGTTGTTTCACATACGCAAAGGCTGTCGGGTTTTAAATCCCATTATAAAATCAATATTTAAAACAAATTTACCTTCGTTAATGTCGGCTCCCTTGTTTTAGCCGATTCTTTCACCCTTTCTTTATGAGGAAACTTTTGAAATTTACAAAATCTTGCAAAAATGCGAGCAAAAAATTAATCAATCATCAAATCAAGAAATGTTTGCTATTTTGCTGTCGTCATGCAGTCGTTATAATGCAAACTTTAAATTGGACCAATCAGTGTCCGCTATTCATGGCACTCCGCCATATTTTTGAGATCAGTGAGGATGACCACCCATCGTTGGTCACCCACGCCCGCGATAATTGATGAACTTTAGACTTCCCTAATGCTTTTGTTTCCCCGAGTGTAAATAGCCTGGGGGAATTAGTACCCTCGCACGGCGCAAAGCGCCGTCGGCTCGGGGACAAGATAATATCGGATGGTGGCTGCATAGAAGGTGGTTGTTCACGGTTGATTGCTTTGTCTACCAAAAGCTTTGGTTTTAGATAATGTCCAGCGCACTCTGATTTGCATTGGGAGCAGTTTTCTTGACCAAATGGTCGTTCTGGATCTTTTGTTGGCAATGGGAAGTAAGTAAGTGGTGGTCCACCAGGGTACCAGGTTGGATTGATGGCAGGTCGTCCATTCTTACAAAGGGAATGAATACAATCTTTTTTATAGCAACACAGTAGTGAAAAGACATACTTGCTAGGGACGTTCTTGTTTTCATGTCTTTTCTTGAGCTCCCAGATACTCTTTATTTTCGCATACAATGCAGGATGTTCTTCTTCTAAAGCCTTGTTTTTCTGCTTTATTCCCCTTGAGAAAAATTTTAACAAGATCGTTTTCTTTCTGATGTTCTGTGCTATTAGCCCCACGATAAAGTTCTATCTGTGCTAACCCACAAGGTGCTCCACTGACGCAGCTGATATAGAGATCAATTGTGGATGAAAGATTTACCTGCATTTTTTCATGGTTGATTTTACCATCGCCTTCCAAACAACTTCCATTTAGGGTAGATGGAATAAAAAGATTTGTGTGCGCAAGAGACAGACACCCATTTTGCAATTCAACCCTGTTCCAAAAGCTTGCACCACTGTTTCGACATGTTATTATTGTGGCAATAGCGTCAGTTTTGAGATGCCAGACAGTCCACCAATACTGAACTTCACAATGAGACGGTCCCTCATCGTGACCCCCATCGACTCTAACGAACTGTACTTTCTTCAGCTGATTGGTCATGGGATCAATAAAAGCAGGTTTTAGTTTGTCCTTTTTTGAAAGCATTTCCAAGTCGGCTAGATGTTGTGCTGGGTTCTTCTCGTGAAGTCCACATGCTTTTACAACACCAACACACAATCCTCCTACTGTTTCCGTTTCAGCAAAGTTATACGACGTCGTTTGTAAGGTAGAAGGGTACCTGGTAGTATAATCCGTACGTGTTGTAAGGGCTTCTTTAATGCATAATGTGCCATGTAGGCGATGAGTTGTCATTGTGTCAAGACGAAAACCTGCCTGATCATCTCTTCCAATGTTCATTGCAGCCATTCCATCTTTGTATTCTAGCTCGTTAAGTGTAGCATAAAATGCACAGCTCCAGTGTTTGTCGGGATTAAATTTGGCATTAACTCATTAACTGGGAAGCTGTTACAATGTTACCACCCCCTAAAGTGGCAAGCAATATGGCGAATTCATGATTGAATTCCAAGCTTTCACCAAAATGGCAATATCTCAGAAACAATTGCATAAAAAAGTCTGATCTTTTCAATCAAACATGAATGATATATGATTGACCAAATTTAGTTTAGATGACCTTGCATACCTATATATATCATTAGTTTTTTCAGTCAGTATTTTTATTTATAAAGCAGTGACACTTTGTTTTTCATGTCACTCATCACCTAAAGGGGCAATATCTCCATAAATTTATATTAAAAAAAAATCATTTACTAAATTAATACATATCTATATTACAACCAATTTTCATCTTTTGGGATATGAATTATGAAATTATCAAAAAATTTAAAAATTACTTCTTTGCTTTTTTGGGGCATCTTGTTTACAACATGAAATTTAGAACAGTAACTAAGTGTTCAAGTTCAACAAAGTGTGCAAGCCAAAACACAGTGTTTGTACATCTTTAAAGTTTTTTGATTGCTTCAAATATATTTAAAAAGATACATAGTGCTTAAATTTATTTATTTTAATATAAACCAAGGATGGGAAGGTGAGAAAATGGGAATTTTCTGAGGTGTTTTTAACACAGACAATGACAGCCGACATTTTGAAAGGCACTCTGCGGTGACAAAACTAAAAGCTATTCACTTCTGTACTCAAAGCACTGAAAAGCATCATAAAGAGAAAAACACTTTAAACACATGCCAGGTAAGACTTTTAGCTCAATATTTTCATGCTTCTATTGGGAAAGCAACGGTTTAAAAGCCAAAATTATTTTGCGCGCCAATGTAGGCTGCTATAAAATGTCAGACAGGCGGTTTCTTTTGAAGTCTGGCTCTGAAAAACAATCTCTTTTTTTGAGTTTGAAATAAGCCTTCATAAGGACTATTGTGTAGAAATGTTATCTATATCCTCACATGAAAAAGATAACCTAATATTCAGGTATTCCACATAGCTATAAAAGGGTGAAATAAGAACTTTCATCTTTGGTTGTTTGTCAGACGTGAGAAACCACATTAGTGCCATTTTGTCGCGCATGCTATTTTATAAAATAAACACCTCAAAACCATAAACTTTTAGTTCAGAAAATTACAAAGTTTCCCATAGACATTATTAAAAATGTTCTGCTGAAGCGATTTCATGATAAATAAGTGAGCAATGGGCCCAAAAGAACTGCTAAGGTTAGTTTTTGTTAGGACTTCAATTTCATGGCTTTCCACAAAGGAAGCCATTTCAGAGAGAAGCGACATTTTGCGAACAACCGTCGCGACCTATTTTGATAACTTTTCCTTCTGATTCAACGTGTAGTTACTAGAAAATGATGTTGCATCAACATTATTATCTGCTTTATCGATTTAAAGTTTTATAGGGGATATAAAAAACAGTAAAAATGCATTTTGAAAGCTTTACAACTCAAGTGCGGACTTTTTGAATATTCGCACACGGCAAGCAAGCGTGTTTATTCAATACACTTATTTTAAACCACAATACGTCTGAAAGAGTTGTCATTTTAACACTAAATTGATGAAAATAGATATAACAGTGATTTTGGAATATCCTACTTATTTAGTGTAATTTAATACTCGAAGTATTCTTGCCAAAAAGGTAAAAAAGATCACGTACGCACACAGTAAGTGGCGTTTGAAATATACTTTAGCTAAAATAACAACTTGAACAAGAAGACCAACAATGGGGTCACGAAAACAGTCAAAGTTGCGCCCAAATTTGCATAAACAGTTCGTTTAAAAAGATAACTTTAAACTAGATTCAACCAACATTAATGCGGTCGAATTTTGCGAGTGTTTGATCGCATATTTCTACTCAAAAATACCCTTTAAAAAATCGTATCTGCTCACTTCAGTTCCGTGTTCATCTTTCTTGTGATTTCCGACTTCTATTTTTAATAAAGTTTGGAGAAATCCTCATCTTTTTGGCTGAAAATCTCGCGCAAGGTTCACAGAAGAACTTGGCCCGAAACGTCAATACATTCGCTTTCCTTTCATGCCAAATTTTCGTTGTAAATCATTCAAAAACGTCTTCTTTTTTCTTGTTTAAAACTTGCTGTGAAATCCTTCTTTGCAACAATATCGTTTTTGGCCGATTTTCTTGCATGATACACCGTTGAAAAGCTTGAATTTCGTGTTCTATTTTCGTATCCATTGCTAGGCAACCCGATAAACACGTGCTCAAATATCATGCCCGCAAGTTGAGGTGTCATTTGAGGGCGTATGCGGGCGCATTGCCAGTTACCCACTTGCCAATCTCAGGGCGCATCCGGGCGCATTGCCAGTTAATGAGTTAAGTAATCTTAAAACCTCAAAATCGACAGGCATTGATTCTATCCCCGCAAGGGTTCTTAAAATCTCAGCTGAAATAATTAGCCCTTCTCTAACGTGGATTTTTAACCTTTGTATCAAAACCGGAGTCTACATAGATGATTGGAAGAAGGCTTGGGTTGTACCTATCTTTAAATCTGAAGATAGGAAAAAATGTGAAAATTATCGCCCAATATCAATCTTACCGATTATTAGTAAAATTTTCGAAAGATCCGTTTTCAATCAATTGTATGAATTTCTCATTGCTAATAATCTACTTTCTAAACATCAATTTGGGTTTCGCCCAAAATATTCTACTCTGGCAGCACTCATTCAGATGTGCGATGCATGGTATGAGAATATGGATAATGGTGAATTGAATGGTGTAGTTTTTATAGATATTTGAAAAGCTTTTGACTCTATTAATCATCTAGTAATATCTCAACTTAACCCTGTCCTTAATGCTAATATTAGATCTACCCCTCTTGAGTTATTTTAGTTATGTAATATTAACCTTAACTATACTAACCATACATTAATCTTTACTTATTAACTATTCACCGATAAGTTGTTTTCCTTTCTGTCTATTCATTTGTTCTTTCAAACTATGTAACCGTTTTTGTAATATTAAACCATTATTTTGTAAATATATATACCATACCCTGTAAATTCATTTAGATTGCTCCGAAGATGTTGTATTGTAAACAACGAAACGTTAGCTAATAAATTTTTTACTTTTATTATGTTTGGATTTAAAGTTATTTGCTGGGCTCTGCTCTTTATCTTTAAACTCTATTAATCATAATATTCTTTTGCGCAAAATGAAAGAACAATTTGGGATTTCAAATATTGAATTAAAACTTTTTGAATCCTATCTTTCTAATAGGGAACAAGTGTCATTTGTTAATGGCGCAATGTCAGCACCAAAAAGGATTGTTTGTGGGGTCCCTCAAGGATCTATATTGGGCCCCTCAAGGATCTATATTGGGCCCCTTATTGTTCTTATTGTATATTAATGATTTACCTGATTGTCTTGAGAAGTCAACCCCATGCTTATATGCTGACGATTCACAGATATTTTCATCTGCGAAAGACTATGTAGAACTTAATGCTCACTTAAATCATGATTTAAACAATGTTAGTCAATGGCTGGTTAAAAACAAACTACAGCATCATTCAACAAAAACCAATTAATTAATGTATGTTGGATCAAATCATAATCTTGCTAAAATTGACAACGAGTTCCCCGTAATGATTAATGATCAACTGATTCCCAGAGTGCACTCAATCCTGTGTTTGGGAGTTAAATGTGATGAAACATTGAACTGGGACAAACATATTGAAATGGTTTGCAAAAAAGTCAGAGCGGGCATAGGAATTTTAAAGTGTATCAAGCCCTATGTTCCTGCAAACACATTGATATCAATTTATAATGCTCTGATACAGCCTTACTTCGATTACTGGAGTTTGTAACAAAACACTAAGAGATAATTTACAAAAGTTCCAAAATCGGGCTGCCAGAATAATAGCTGGTGCCAGTTATGAGATCAGATTGCTGACGTTCTTTGAACTCTTGACTGGGAAAATTTGGAAACAAGATGGTACTTAACCTAGGCAACATTATTATTTAAAGTCTTGAGTAATAGTGCCACACCAATTCTGAAAGATTCATTCATAAGTAGAAATATTTTACTAAACAATTATAACCTTAGAAATTTTCAAACTGATCTGACCCTTCCAAAGCCAAACAGAGAATTTCTCAAAAGAAGCTTTAAATATAGCAGTGCTTATCTTTGGAATAACCTTCCGCTTGAAGCTAAGCAAGCTTAATAAATTCATATCTTTAAAAGTTGTATAAAACAAAATTTTTGATGTTAATAACCGAGTCTGGATATTTATTCTGGGACACACCATCGTTGTTTATACCATAGCTTTTGATAATGTACATATTGTAGTAGACTTAGTTTCCTTCCTTTTTATATTCTTTGTAATATTTTTTATATCGACGCCCCCTTTTGTAGTTGTCGGGGCTAGCGTCGCTAAATAAAGTGTGTATGTATGTATGTATGTATGTATATATGCTTGTGCAAAAAGATAAAGCTACATGATGGTCGGTACCACATTGTTTTTGCACATCCCGAAACTCTCATCTCGAGCAAATATGGACAGGAGTTGTTGCTCACTGCTCAGCCAGCAGTACCAGGAAAATGTTGTTGGAATTGTTATAGATGAAGTGCATTGTATAGTGGACTGGTTAGTATCAGCATTTTTATTTTAAAGGATAATGGCAATAGATTTTTTTATTCTTGAGATTGGTAAAACTGGATCCCCTGATTACAAATATGCTATTAGTTTTCATCAAAAATGTTTTGTTCTCGAGTTATTTCACCGTAAATATTCAGTACGTCCCCCATCTTGGATCGATTTTCAAAAAAATTATCTTTTGTGTCACATGACCTGTGTGACGTCAAGAGCAGGGTAGAATCAAAACAACAAATATATTTTATTAGGCGCATATTGCGACTTCATACTTCTAGTGAGAAATTTGGCGCTTTTTGATTACTCGGATGGAAAATATCCACAATATCAAGTAGATAAGGTATTACCTTATCAATTTGAACCTAAACTGGGCTTAGAAACAAGCGATAGCGATGACAAGAGCGACTCCGAAGAACAGAGTGAATAGTCTGACGAGGAAATCACCATGTGTTTGAGGTCGAAAATGCTTGGCGCATTGCACATTGAAGCCAAAGGATATTGAATTGTTTTGTTGCCACGATAAAGTGTTAGAATATGATGAATAAGATGTATGATTGAAGGAGGCTGAAACACAAGGAGAGAAGTGCTTGACTGCCTTTTACTACACTGTCAACACATGCAGAATTCAAAGCGAACATGCTGTCGGAAGGGCTATTAAATAGACGTTTGTCGCTATCTTGAAGATATTAAACTGGCCTCTGGATGACAAAGATTTGGACAAGATACACAAAATTTATAGACTAGTAGCTTACCAATGATGTTCATGTTGGGTATTTCAGATTTTGGGGAATATTAAAAACAGAAGGCCACTTCCTGCGTGTGTTTACACAATAACAGACAATTCCCATTATAGAGTAATTTTAAAACTAGGCAAGGAGATGCAAATTATAAATCACCACAGCTAGAAAGAGCATACTAAAATGAGTAAAATTGCAAAGTTTAGTTGCGAAATGTTGTAAAATGCGGAACATATAGCCTTGCAAAGTTCGCAAATTTTGTATACTTTTGTATTGCGTGCGGAAATTGCTACATTTTCGGCCCAAATGTGGTAGCAATTTCCGCACGCAATACAACAGTATACAATATTTGCTATGTTTTCCGCATTTTACAACATTTCGCAACCAAGATTTGCAATGTTACTCATTTTAGTATGCTCTTTCTAGCTGTGGTGATTAATTTGCATCTCCTTGCCTAGTTTTAAAATTAGTCTATAATGGGAATTGTGTATTCGAGAGCGGTTTGGGGCTTTGAGATTGTGTGAATGTTCATTTATTCAAATTTGGCTAAATCTATGCTCTTTTAATAATAACTCTAGTATGTGCCGATTACATGAAGCATTTTCAAGCTTGGGGATAAACTCGTTTACTGTTGACAGCGTTGAAATTTGTTCAATAAAGTAACCCTCGGCCTGGGGTGCTCGAAACAGGTTTGAAATTTAATTTTAACCTCGTTCTTGAACTCAGCCTTTGGCTGAATTTTTTCGTTTAATAAGAGTTTCATAAAAAGACAGGGCTGCCATTTCTGGCTAGTATGAAAACAAGGCTGAGTCAAAATCCAAGGTTGAAGATGCTCTAATTCTTCCAATGCAATCAGCTTTATTATAATGTGCAGCATGCAACCCCAATTTTCTACAACAAATGTTATTATAATTTGCATGCAATTGTTCTATTATCTAAAAAAGTGCAGTGGTGTATATATTAATGCTTTATTAAAATTTAGTTTATAAACAAAGTTGTTCTCTCATTATTTATATCACAAAAACATTAAAACGATTTTTACACGCGAATTGCAAAGAATCAAAACATATTCTCAGTCATTAATAGTGTTTATTTATGCGATATTATTCCTCTTGATGTGGTC